ATGCAAGAATGATGATGTATGCAGGACGAGAGGCCCGGCTGATGCTTGCTGGGACAGGTGGTTCCAAGGAGCCAATACCTCAAAAAGCCGCAGGCGATGGATTTGAAGGTTTTTTCTTGTTTTCAGATGAATTTTGAAGGCTTTTTTGCTTTACGTTTTCTTCATATCAGGTTCGTTGACATTGTTAACACGTGAAACAAATGGTTCTTGAAAAAAAAAAAATGATTCTTGAAGTAGCTGGTGAATAATTATGTTTTGAGTTTATGAACCTGTAAGGTTATACCTGCACAATTACGGAGCTGTACTTGGTGTAGAAAATAATATGAACTATTATGTTTACAAATGACTTGTGAGTTGTGACTTTTCTTTAATGTCGTGTAGAGAATAATATGAACTATTATGTAGACAAATGACGTGTGACTTTTCTTTAATGTCTCGCACAACCGGTGGATCAGTAGTACAGTGTATGTAAAATGCGGATGAAAACTATAGTTTACAAATTTCTTCATGCACTATAGCCAGTTAATGTACAAGGCATTATATGATATTGATAAGGCGTATTTACAGACAAATCTTGTTGAAATTCACTGTTGGTAGATGAGGTACGAACAATGACTAATGGTGGTAGCCACTGCCAACGGATGGCGGCGAGATAGTCGGATCTTCAGTCTCTACAAAAAATATCGGAAAACATGACGAATTTTTTCGTCATGTAAACCTTCTTTTTCATCACAACGACAGTACATTGACGATGAAATTTTATCGTCACAAAGATTGTCACTGTAGTCACGCTATAATAGGTATATGTGAAAAATTCCTAACGCGTCACTAAATATTTCACTTTAAATGACGTTTATAAGTATATCGTCATGTTATTTGGTCATTTTATTTGACGATAATTTTTTTAGTGTTTATTATAAGAATATTGTCATGTAAATGATTATTTTGTCATAAAAAGTCAATTTTTAAATGGCGGAAAATTAACTTTGTCATCAAATATTATTTTTTGGTGGCGAATTTTAGTATATATCGAATTTCTAAAATTTCAATGACGAATATCTTTGTGTCGTTTTGGTTTAAAAAAATCGCCATATTTGATATAATTCGTCATAAAATAATTATATTATGATTAAAAATATTGGTCCTCATTGAAAGTAATTATAAATATGACGATAACAAAAGTGCTACTAAAAAACTAATGATGAAATATTCAGTCTCAAAAAACATACAAAGCGACAGATTCTTTTGTCAGGAAATCTTAGCTCTTTGATTACGAAGATAAAGATAGTAATCAAAAGCTTGAGATATAACAACAACATAAGTTGTCATAAAAATATAAATATTTAGTGGCAAGATTCATTGTCATTTTAAAAATTTATATGGTGACAAAATTCAAACCAATATGCCACAGTTGCATGTTGTTAAAAAAAAAAAATTAATGACTAGTTAAAATTTGTCAATATATGATATGATTACAAATATAACAATTCTCATTAATTACATAGATATGTGACATTCTATCGTCACCTAAAACAACTATGTCATGAAAAAAAAAAAATTATAATGACAAACTCATAGCAACATTAATCATATTTAGCTCATTTGATTGATAAAATTATAATTAATATATGATGGTAATATATTCTACAATTTTTAAGATGATAAATTACAAAAGAGACAATAATTGCTTCAATAGTAATTTTGCTATTAAAAAAATAAATAAAGAAACGAAAAAATCTCAAAATGTTCCCAAGCACAATATATATATATATATATTAAAAAAAAAAGCCTAAGTACTTAAATAAAAAAATATAGCAAATTTCATTGTATCACATTTTTAAGTAGACATATCTCTTGATAGAGTGTCTTGAATATATCAACCTCGAAAGACTAGCCTCGGGACCTTCTTATTGCTAAATTCAATCAGCCACATAAAAATGCTCGTATGCATGTGTTAAGCTTTCTAAATCAATGTATAATAGTTATAATATTAAGAAATAGTCCACAAAAGTAATTTCGCACGTGACTAAAATAAAACTTATTACTTACATGAAACTTTTGAGATCAGATATTGTTTTCAGTTGTAGCCATGAAAGTCATAAGTCTGTCAATATTTGCCCCTTGTTGACTTAGTCGGCCTTTCAAACTACTAACTTGCTCCTTAAGCTCAATCACTTGAGATCTTGATTCATGTAGCTTTTCTTGTGCTTTTAGAAGTTGCTTCTGGAGGAGTTGGTCATTCGAGTTATATGCTTTGAGTCTACTTGGCGGCTTCGAGCCATACCCATAACCTTTTATATAACCAGATCCATGGCCAATAACCTCAAGAAGTATATCTCATGTGCACTCTTCTCAGCGTCTTGTTCAGAATATTTCTCTCCTTGAAATAATCAAGTCCTGACAAATACCAATAAATGACTATATAATCAAATTCATATTAATTTCAACCATTACAATATCAGATCAGTTTTCTTTTGCCTCTTCTGTTGACTAACCACTTTTTTCTTTATAATGCGTATACTTTAAAGTTAAATTATATACAATGGTCCTCCATTTATCTCTTCCCATACTACATTAATTTTTAATATTAATCATAAATAGTGTAAGTTCAACAAGAAACCTACTAATGATCATAACAAATTTAATATCCTAAACATAAACATTTTTCATGATATTTATTAATATATTCTACACAAAGACACACTTCATATATACAAGCAAAACTCATCGATTTTTACAAGCACGTGAATATATACATTGTATAAACATGAATATATAACTTTCCCAAACTATGTAGTGTATAAAATGTTGAAATTGCAAAAGCAGTAGGCTATAGTTGTTGGTTGGGTGAAGAAGTCGGTTCATGTGCACATCGAATAAATAACTAATTCAATCCTATCACAACGGAATCTATTGATATGATTCGAGGACATACGTTTTAAAAATTTTCGACTCTGAGGCGTTTCTGATTTCCACTGATGGAGATCGTCTAAGTCTCGCCAGACCGTAACTGCTGCCCGTTGATCGCCGAGAAACATCGCGGGCGGCTGAGGGATCGTCATGCGTTTCCGAGTCGGGTCGCTGCCCCTACGTCGCCGGTGGTGGATGTGATCGTCGGAAAGCTCACGGGATAAAATATATATTTGTCGGGATAGCAAAATATAAAGCCTTTTGATGTTCTATTGTATGACCAATCACTCTCTTTGATTTACCGTAGTGGATGGCTAGTCGGATCTCCCAAACCTCATAACACTCACGATTTTTTTTCTCCTTAAGCTTCTCGGTTTCGGCAGATTTCTGGCTCTAGAAGTTGAGAAAAATTCACGTGAATTATCTTATGTGAAGGCTAAGGACTTGGTGTATTTATAAGCTAAAATAGAAATCCTATGGAGGTGCTTAATATGGACTTCTCTAATTTTGGATCCAACAGTGGGCCTAGCCTACTCCATACACCATTGAGAAATATTAAACGCCACTACAACAATATTACTGGACTCTCTATTTATCCCTGAATTACAAATAATTCATTCTCATTCAGAAATATTAAACGCCACTACAATTGCCTGATCTGCTTCGCCATTTTTTCCACCGCTAGATAACAGTGAGCTCCTGTGGCCGCGTTGCTGGAGACCTCAACCTCCATCTCCTTCCTAGTCGTCGCGATAAGGGTAACCACGTTCAATACCTGTTCTTGAGATAACCCAATTGTCACGGCGTCAACTATCATCTTGATGAGCTTCTCTTTCGTTAATGTAATGAGTTGTTGACTTGTTGACTCAGCTCCACTCCTCGGTGGTCCCATCTGCACGACATGAGTAAGATCTGGTTGCATCGATGGCAAAACAAAGAACTCTATGCCCAATCTACCCGATTGGCTCGATAATCGGAGCATCGACTGCTAGAGGGGCCGCCGATGAGCCCCCTTAGGCCTAGGGGGTTGGCCATCGGGGTCATCAGCGTCTGCATTGACTGGGAAAATTAAGCACAGTGGTGGGCCTACTACCTACGGACGAGCATTGGTCACACCTCGTCGAAGGTTGTCTCAAGGTTTTTCCGGGAATGTGCACTTCCCATGGTTGCAATTGTTTAATGGCTTTTCCAAAGAAGTCCCACTGCCAAAATGGTGTGCAAACGACCTCGATCGGGTGGCACGACCTTGGAACTGCTCACGTTCGGTTTAAAGACCTGAAAAATGTGTTGGGAGGTGCTCCCGGCATTAGCACTCTGACAATCAAGTGGTCCACAGTGATAAAGACAATGAATAGTAGATATATGAGTTTGTAAGTGTATTAGATTGTGTAGAGTTCAAATGGACATGCCCCACTCCTTTATATGTGCCCGAATAAAAATTTACTGACAACCCAAATGAAGATTAGAATATATACTTATACATATATATATATATATATATATATATATATATAATCTTCAATTGTGTGAATTATCACAAAAAAAATAAAAATAAAAAAAATAAAACTGAGTAAACTATATTTATGTTGCCCAATATTAATTTTATAAAGTTAATTTTAATATTAATACGATTTATTTTTATAAAATTACTTTTAATATTTCTTTCCTACATCATAACCATAAAAAAATATTTTTAATATTGTCATCTCGTGCATCACACGAATGCATACTGGTTTGGTGAATAATGACTGGGATTTTTTCTTTTGATTCTCCTCTTAAGTTAGAAACTTTTTTTGATTTTTCACTTTTGATTCTCCTCTTAATTTAGAAACTAATTTTAGTATAACATGTGTATTACATGAATTTCAATTAAAACAAAAAACTATTTATAAACATGATTGTCTTGTAAAAATAACATATAAATTTTATATTGGTTTTTTTTTTAATTCATTTGTAAAAAGAATAAATAAATTTTTATATTTATTTTTTTTCATATAAAATTATATTGATTTTTTATTCATATAAAAGTGTCATTATTATTTTTATTCAAAATGACATCAGTCGCTGTAAGATTCACTCATCTTGGGTTATGATATGTTTTCTAACTCATATTATATTATGTTTGATGTGTAATTTTATTTTAATGGATCAGTACTAATTTTATTATTATTATTTTCTGATTAAGATTCATAGATTTTTTATTTAAAATGTTAGATACATATAATTATTTGTTTATGTTTTATGTGCAATATAAATATCAAACTAAAGATCATCAAGATGTGATATTCTGTTCATGCAATATATATGTCAAATCAAACATTATAAAAAAAATTGACATATCATATTCAAAAAATTAATGATAACTTTTTTCTAATAATATAAGTTGTTCGATTTTTTATTTTTTTTTTAAACTAAAAGTCTTTAGCTTAAAAATATAAATCCACATGATCTAATCCGTAGCATAAAAAATTGACACATACTATTATAAACAACTAGAATTTGATATATATGACCTCAATTACTTGATACTGCCATATATGTCCGAAAAATTATTCATTTAAATATAGAGATACATGAATTGATTGATTGATTATTTCAGTTATAATTTGTTATATTTTGTGTTATACTTATAATTTATCACATAATCTAAAATGTAAATGCATACATCTTATTTGAATTTTCTAAATTTTGTTCAGTCAAATCTTAAAGGCTGCTGAGACTTCAAAATCAACCGTTGCCTATTATATATATCTTTGTAATTTGTTTATTTTATGAATATTAATGAACTTAGAAGTTGACTAATTGGAAATTGGCTCCAATTCTATATATACACACTGCATAAATCTCCACAAGCATAATACATAATACCTAAGTGGTAAATAATGAAGAAAGATATGGATTATTCATCATCAGGTGATACTGAGTCAAATATCCCTAAAGCCGCCGATGACAACCTCCACCAACACCGCCATCGCTATTTTCGGGGCATAACCGTGAAAATCATGCTGCTATTTGTGGGCTTGGGCCTAATTTGTTTGGGCCTCAATCCATCTTCAGACTCTACGGCACAGTTATTTCAAAAGTTACATTCAACATCATGGCCTAAACAATCTGTAGCAAATGCAAACGCGTCGTCCCAAAATAATGTTTCGTCCCAAAAACTAGATTCTCAGGTGATTTTCTTGAATGAAATACGAATTTTCTTATTATCTACTACTTTTCCCTTTGAATACATGTATACACACACGCACGAGTTAGGCCATGTCTCCTCTATGATCAAGATTTCAATAAATCATTATGTTGTAAAGCTGAATTAATATTATTAAAAGTCTCTTAATTATTTATTTGATTTAGAGGAAATGATTAATTTTTGTTATTTGATTTTGGAGTATTGTATTTACTTTACACTATACAACCCGTGTATTTCTTAATTAATATATTTATATTAAAATGTGAAAATAAAAAAAAAAAATTTGATTAATCTTGTTAATATTTCTTGAAAACAAATTATTATTTTTTACTCGTATCTTGATAAATAAATTATTTGACTGGTAATCATAGTTTTATTAGCTTTTTAATTAGAAATGATAAATAATTTTATATGATTATATTAAACATTCATTGCTACAAATTTAGCATAGATTAGGAACTCTGTGTCACATGACTTCACTTATGTCTTCATAGTTGACTCTCGAATTCCCCATTTATCTTGCTACTTAATTAATCTCCCCAAACCTTCTTAAATAATTTTGAACTTTTGTGTTCCGTACAAACAACTTATTGACTTACACAGCGTTTTTAGATGTTATAAATAAATACAAATAATTGGTGGAAATTTCAAAAATAGCATAAATGGACGACACAAATAAGTGTAACCATTTTAATTATTACAGTTGATTAATAGTAATTCAGTATCTTTTTGAATTAATTAAAATGGGGGTTAATTTTCGAATCCAACTATGACCTTTACATCCACGTAGCACATTAACTGATTACAATTTGGCAAATTAAATGGTTGTATCATTGCAT